AGTTATAGGATTTAACCAAAAGGTAAACAATTAATTCTATACTAAGATAGAATAACAAGTATCAATCTGTGTAAAAGATGAACTATTCTAAGTTAACCACAACGAGTGTAATAATGAAATCCAACACATTCTTATACCCATTGCTTCAGGTCCTGTCCTCCTGTGCCTCCCATCTTGGCGGGAGGTTTGGGAGGCGCATGGCCTCCCATCCGCGCTGGCCTCCCGGAGGCCACGCCTTGGCGGGATGCCAAGTCACGTGATCCGCGCGCCCCGCGCTGATCATTACCCGGGTGTCCTTTGACACCTTTGTTTCCCTTAGGCTGACTCCGCAACCCTTTCATGGAAACCTGTTGAGAGGAATCCTTCCTGTTTGTTCGTAACACTAGTCTCTTAAGTTTTAAGAGCTTTGCAAGGAGAACAATATCTACACGCTCTATATGCCGCCATATTCCTCTCACCTACTTCAACCTCTTAACGTTAGCTGCTTCTTGCTATTAAAGCGCGCGTATAGCTGTAAGGTAGAGAGCCTAATACGCAACTATATTAACTACATCACTAAGCTTAAGTTTCTACTAGCGTTCAAGACAGCGTTTGATTAATCCTTCACGCCAGCTAATATCCGCTCAGCCTTTCAAGGCGCAGGCCTTGTTCCTCTTTAGCTAGACGCTGTTCTATCAAAGCTAGACATAAAGCTGCGCACGCCTACTACTCCAGTAGCTGCTGTCGCAGAGGCTCTCTAGCAGGCTCGTACCCCAAGTAACACACGCGAGTTTAAAGCTCAATTAACGCTAATACGTGATTAGGTTTAGTGGCATAAGAGCTCTTCGCTAGCATTAATTATTATAGCAATTAACTAGCTTAAGAAGGAGGCTAAGGTTATAATACTCTTAGCTAAGCTAATGCGCGATTAAATCACTAGCCTTAAGAGGGCTAATAAGGTAGCAATAAAGCGTAGGTAGCGTAAAAGGAAGTAGATATAGAAGCAAGAAGTGCTAACAAAAGAAGCTAGAGAGAATCTACTCGCTTAGCGCGAGGCTAATTAGCAGATTGCTCATAAAGAGCGTCAGGGAGGAGAGCGATTAGGTGTCAGCCGCCAGGCTCTAGCGCGCTGTAGTAGGTGCTGTAACGGCGCAGGTAAGGCAGGTCGGATCTGTTTCGGTCGTAGGATCACTCAGAGGCATATGGGAGTGCGTGGGATCACAAAGAGCCTAGATTCAACAAGCCACCTATAGGCCTTGTACGAAAGGATATCAAAAGTCTACAGAGCTAGCTACAGGGAGTGTCTCAATATATACCTATCCAAGTCAGGTCCGAATTCGGATCCAACCTCGGGCGAATAGCTGATGAAGGGCGGCAGGTACTTCCTCCAATCCAGCTCTGGGATTGGCTCAATACTTGGCGAAGTTGTAACATCGTTACACTACCCCCCTCTCAGTAGACAGCTAGTCCCATAGCTGTGAGACTCTCTTATGCCTTTTTATTGCAGTTCCCCCGCGCTATTGCAAGTGAACTGTTTTAGGTGTCCTTTAGCTTAGTCACATACCCAAAAAATCTTTTTCTTTTCTTTCCCTACACTCAATCGTCTTGTAGTGACGTCATGTCATCTATGCCCTTCTCCCACGCTTGGATCCACTGGCTAAGGGCCCGAGGGGGTCCCGGCTTAGATGGGTTTTGCTCATGGAATTCTCTAAGCTTATGTGGGGCTCCCATGAAATTTGAGGCAGGGTACCAAGTAGGATCCGGATCGTGTCCGATCCAGCTTACCCGGTATTTCAGCTTGGAACGATATAACTTACTAGCAAGGATCTGGTCTACTTCCCATTCTTCTACACCTTGGATGGGTACGCCAGGGGGCTTAGGAGCTTCTTGTCCT